AGTGGCAAAACCCGGGTGAGGGGGAATGGAGCCCCGGTGTCATCGCGCTGCTCCCAGACGGGGAGCAAAGGCGGGTTGCTGTAAAGCTGAGCCATAAATCAAGAGGAAAGGAGGCGCTTCTGGTCAGGTAACGCGTAAACTGAATGGTAAATGTCAAGCTGCACGTAATGGTGGTGGACTCAGTGTATTCCCACCAGTGTCACCTGTGGAATGCTGTGGTATAATGAAGCCCACCTGCCGGAGGTAGGGAATTCGGGGGGTTGAGGGCAGAAGGCCCTGGTGTGGCTGCGGGAAAAGCGCGCCTTGGAACGATGAACCCGAGACCAGTGCTGAAGGTCACTGCTGACCACGAGGAGCGCACGGCGTTATCGCGGCAGCTGCATACGAACAAGCAGAAGGTACCTCCAGCGGCAGGCGTTACGGAGGGGAGCGGAAGGACTTGTCCCTTGTTTACCGGCAGCGAAGTTTACAAGTGTTAGCTGGTGCTGTAAGCGCTCACGCTGTAGCTTTTTTAAAACCTGTATGCACCGCATAGCCAAATATTGACTCATTCAACTGACTTTGGAGCTGTGCTGTCATATCCTTGATAGATGCTTTTTTTAAGATTACTTGAGGAATCTTACATATTCGTGGATAAATTTAACCTTTTCCAAATTTCACCTCTTTGCCAGCTCAGGGTGGGCAACAGATAGTGGAAGTACTTCTGAGTCATGTGACTTTTACTCTTCGGGTTTGTTTTAGGTGTTAACTCTCATACTTCCAGCATTAAAACAAGATACCCCAAAGGCCATTTAATTAATCAAGTTTTCTGTCAGTGAGATGAGGCCCGTTATCCCTGAGCATTAGCAGTTGTGGGTTCATCTTCTGTGTTACAAAAAAAGAAACCTGAGCGATAAGGAAAAGTGATGCATGACCAGTCTGTCTCCTCAGAAATTAATTCATTAGTCTAAATTCCCAGACCTTCTGCAGCACAGAAATAAGGTGACAGAAAGGATCAGTAGAAGTTGGCAATGAATCCTCTTCTCTCACCTGGATTAACAGTACAGGATTTTGCAGCTAATACCATAGTGTCAAATTTGTGCTGATCCCGTCTGGAGCGAGCCTTCGCTCTGGGAATCTGCGGAGTCGTCTGCCCACTGAACTTGTTCCCTGGCACACTGCTCACAGTTACCTGCCTGGGCACTACAACTGCATTGGAGAAAAAACAGTGTCCTTCTGAAATACGGAGGACAAGACCAGACCTTATCAAGGCAGTAATCTGGATCTGGAAGATTTTAAAAGTCCTGCTTTGCTGGGGATAGGTGTTTCTCAGGTGTTCTCACATATTGTTGCTCAGGCACACATTGTTTATCTCAGATGTTTGCAGCTGTATATTTGCTGAGGGATCAGGAGAAAGTGGCTGTGTTAGTGTCTGCTGGTGCAGTGTTTGCTGCTCTGCGGTGTCACACAATGCATTTTTTTACAAATACAAATACTTCTTCCCCTCCCCGCCTTGTTTTTATTCCCCTCATGCCTGTTGAAGTGGAGCTAACAGTATGCCCTGCCTTGCTGGGTTTAGTGGGGGTAATTGCATCATGGTCTAAGAGGGAATGTGATGCTACATTTATCACATAAATCCCTGGGATGAATATATTGTAGAAGAAATTACATTAAGCAGCATTAACCAAATTTTATCATTGTCCTGTATTTTATAAAATGCTTATATAGCATTTATTTTAGATTTTTTTCTGATCGTATAGGAAAAAAAAAAGTCAAAAATCACCAGTTTATGTCAAATCCAGTCTGATCACCCCAAAGCTTCTAGCAATAAGTGTTTGTTTTGGCTGAAGTTAAACTTGTCCTCAATGCCTTCAGGATAAACTGAAAAGTAAAGTCTTCGGGAGAGAACGACCACTCAGGATCTGTAACAGGTTTTAAGTGTGCCTGTTATGTAATTTGGGGCACTCTTTC